AGACAGACAGACAGACAGAGCCCAGGTGGAAACCATCTCGAAAAGAAACTCACCTGTAATACAAATTTCTGGTCTATATATTTTTTGGCAATGCTGGGCTGGAATTCTTGACTCTCCAAGAAGCGAATGAAGAACTCATATACAAGCTACAGGGAGAGAAAAGCAGAGGCTTATTCTCCAGGACAGCAGGCCGAGGAAAAGCTGCGACGCCTCCCTGAAGCTCGTCTAAATAAGACCAGCATGGCAGAAAAAGCAGGAACAGTACAGCTTATCAACTATTACGACCCGGCAGTCAGGAGAAAAACAAGGAAACACTTATTTTAAAATTAAACAACTTATAGCCAATATAGCCAAGGTCAGGGTGGACAAAGTCTAAATATATAAAACCCCCATTTTCATGGCTACAGTAACCGCGGTTTACTGCGGACTGAAAAAAAGTTTTAAAATTCCAGAAATAACTGGTTCATAAGTTTCAAAGCACATGACGACTGAATACAGGCTGCAAGTCGGTGGGCACAACAGACCAGGATTGTTTTAGAACAAATTTTTCCTTTCGCAGGTTATGTACAAATACATGATGCAATATTTTTCACTGCAAAACGTGTTTTGTTGTTCCTTTGTGGTTTGAGGGGAATAAGAAGCATGATTTGCGTTGCTCCGTCATCCCGTCATGCATCATATTTTGTCATTGCTATGTAATACATTTGAGAATTACGCTAAAACCTCAGAATCCCTTTTATTCGAGTACAGCACTGTATTATAATGTACAATGCATTTCATTATTACAGCATTTAATGTAAGTAATGTCTTAATGTAAGTAATGTGCGTGAACTGTTCGCCGTTATCCATAATCTCGGCTATCGCCGGTAAGTCTTGGAACATAATCACCCGCGGAGATGGGGGACCTACTGTAACCAGAAAGGGTGATTAATGCCATAAACTGATGCAGGTATGAAGGAGAAGACAGATGCTGAAATCAAACCAAACAAAGACGAAAGCAAACAGGGCAGGGGGGCAGATAGTGTGTTAAGACTGGGAGACTCATTCAAGAATAATTAGAATGACTGACCCACCCCCCCAATCTGAAGCAGAGGGTGCTCACGACAGCCACGCGAAGACCCCCGCTGCCAGGACAAGCAGCCATTACCTGCAAGTGTGGCCACGATGCCTCGAGCGTCGGCTCGTCCTCTTCGGGGTCAAATTCATTACTGTCACTGGGAGGAAGGGTCCGGAAAATATTGTGGGACACCTAGTGTGCATCAGAAAGCCAGGTTAATGTCTGCTGGGTGCAGAACCATCGGGCAGCAGGCGAGAGAGGGTCACATGACTCACGAACCGCACCGAGAAGCAGAGCACTGGGGAAATAAGGAAGGTGAAAGGCCAAAACAGGCACGGCTCAGAAGAGAACGCAAGAGTAAAGGCTGGGTCATACTTCTCCGCACGCGTACTAGCGGACTGCAGTGGTGTATGTGCAGCTCTGCACACACTGCACATGATCGATTCACTAGCAACCACATTAAACAGCAACATGGTTGTTTCTGACGAGTGTTGGGGCAGTTTGCAAACCCTACAGACTATTTACAATATAACAAAACTGTTACATATGTGTAAATGTGTGTGTGAGTGCAGACCTATCTTGAATTGAAAATCTTATGCCAGCCAGCTGACCGAAGTTGGCAACCCTGTGAGCTGGCTCTGAATTTGTAAAACATAGGGAAACGGACACAAAACTCACTGCTGTGGTACGTGTGTAGGGAATATCAGAATAATTTACATTACAGTGGTACCTCAGAACTCGAACTTAATCCGTTCAGAACTCTAGGTCGAATCCTAAAAAGTTCGATTTCTGATTGAATTTTCCCCATAGGAAATGATGGAAAACCAATTAATTGGTTCCCGGCCCCCCCAAATTACACCTAAATATGTTTTTTTAGCATTTAAATACAAAATGAACCGGATAAAACAAGAAGAGCATATACTGTACTAAACACATCTAAGCACATTTATCAAAACAGTAATTTGTAAAGTAAGAAAATAAATGTATCCAAACAATGTGTCCTGCCCCGATCGTCCGCTCCTTCCGTGTGCCACACCCCCTCGTTAACCTGGCATCACAGTGCCCCTGGATCCCCGTGTGATAAGCTGTTTCTGGTTGTTGTCATTAGTCCTCTGTATTTCGTTCGTGTTTCAGTTTGTTTCCCCAGTCCGGTCATTGTATTGTCGGTCTGCATTTTGCCTGCCTTATCTGTAATTAAACCCCGTATTCCCCGATACCCTGACGTCTGCGCCTTTGCCTCCGTTCTGTCCCCGCTCGGCCCGACAATATTATTATAATTCAATGAATTAATGGCTTATTATTCATATTAAAATAATTAATAAGAAATCTTTATTTTAAAATTTATTTTATTATATAATAATAAATACTGTTACTATCTATCATTGTCTAAATGAATTTTTACTATCTAAATATATGTATTCAGCTATAGTGTAAACATGCACGATGCTATCACAGCTAATGCGAGGCTGAGACTGAAGCGTTACCCTTTGTTTACGCTGAGAGAAGTGCCGCGTGACTCATTTCCCCGCACGTACAAGTTCTTAGGTTGGCGTTCATGGTTTGACTTCTGAGATTCAGATCGAGTTCTAGGTCTTTTTTTTTTTTTTTTAACTGGTTGGTTCGACTTTTAAGCAATTCGAGTTCTGATTGAGAACTGAGGTACCACTGTATTTTAAAAATACAAATACAACACGTTGTGCGCATGTGCAAAGTACGTGGCTTGACCGGAGAACTATGAACGTTTCCGTGTACGCACACGCAGAGTGGATACGCGAGTGTTGTGCTTCTGCGGAGAAGTATGAACCAGCCTTAAGCATGTTGGCAGTGGTGCTTTGCTGCCCCCTAATGGAGAGCTCAGGGTTAACTTCAAAAGCAAATCTGCATTTAGAGGATTTCTTAAAATAGTGAATTATTAATGTAACAATGAATCATAATGGATACATATTAAGTAAAAAGAAAAATAAAACCTTGTATAAAAAGGTAATCTAAATGTTACTATTCAAGGGCAGTGAATTTAACTTCCTTGTCTTAACCTGAGCAAGATTACAAAATGTAAACCATATTTTTTCATCCCCATTCTCTTGTAGATGCAGGTCTCTCACACATGTCCTTCTGTGGTCCAAAGCCTAGGTCACTAAATTTCCCCACAGTGTCTGAGGGTGTGTGGGCCCATGGTGGGCTTACGGGGTGTCATGGTGTGCATCCAGGAGTTCCCTTTCCTCGTGGCCCCAAATCCATAGCAGACGTGGCTGGGTCTCACTAGGATTCCAGATGACCCTGATTTCACCTGCAAGTTACCCAAATAATAACTGACATCGCTACAGAAAGTGTGGATGCCACCTGGCCTTTTTCAAGCCATTACTTTGGCTGGCTTTATGCTGTGCTGTTATTATAATAATAAGATACTTTAGTGCAGCCACCTGTAGCAGCGCCCAGCGGGCTGGGGGTTAAGGGCCTTGCTCAAGGACCCGCAGACGTGCTGAGGCTGGGTTTGAACCGGTGACCTTCTGATTACAGGCACACAGGCATAGCCCACTGAGCCACACGCTGCCCACAGAGTAAGCAGAACAGAACTCTGCTCTAATCTGTTTGACAGTCGTCCAAACAATGACTGGAGCCTTCATCAAATGATATTCCCGCCTTTCATCTGGAGTGACATTCCACCACCCAATAGGAACAGCCATGACCTGGGAAGGGGCCAGACTACCGCTAGGTGCAAAGAAGCCCTTCTGGGTTTTACTGACGGAGCCCCTCACCATTCTGACCACCTCTGGGTAAGCCTGCTCCGTCAGGTAGCCCCGGCTGACTGTGACGTAGTCCACCAGCTCATTAAGGGTGGAGCGCTTGTACTCCTTCATCTTAAGGTCCGACAGCGTATCCATGAAATCGAAGATCGTACAGCACTGCTGCAGCTTCTTCAGGAACAGCTCCGGCTGCTCCAACGCCGGAACGTCTGCAGGAAAGCCAGGAGAAAGAGAGAACATCATCTACAACTACTCCATTCATCCATCCAGAAGAGCTCTCCCAACGCTAGGTCTCAGAGAGCCTGAAGTCTGTACCAGGAAACACACAGGATGAGGCAGAGTACGGCCTAGACAGGAACAGCAGCATGGGAAACCTACACAAGCAAAGAGGGAATGCAAACTCCCCCAACAAAGGGGGGGGTAAGGGTCCGGAAGGGTGCTGGAGCTGATGCTGCAGGAGTTCCCTCCAAGGTTCCTACGTCACAAACGAGAATCTAAAGCCCTGGAAGTCTGACTGAAAGATGCTGGCCACAAAGCCACAGTATGGGCCATCACTGAACATACTACAGCAAATGGGAATCTGATCTGCAAGACAAGATGGGCCATCAACCCAAAAGGGGCAATCATCACATCCATCTGCATGGAGGCCGTTCCTATACTGAAAGAAAATATGATGGGGCGTCTATTGAGTCATGGGAAAGGAAGAGTCTAATTGACCAGGGATCCGTCAGAGAGCGTGTCATGCAGATTTCATTACCGTCTTCAATGACAAAGCTATGGTTCCGGTCATGGTCTCATGAAACCATGAGCAGGGGCGGTTCTCGTCTGGCTGGTTATAAGGTTATATTCCGTACCTGGGTAACCGCGGCAAAGCCAGACAGTTGATAAAAATAAAATAAGGCTATCAGGTAAAGATGTGCAATCGTATTTCTCTGGTTTGCAGATAATTATCCAGTGGGACAAATGGAACCATTGGCCTAAAATAAATATTGTTCAGTTTCTACAGGCTACTGTACAGCTTTCAGTATCCTGCTCCTCAGTCACCATGTTCTGGACGTGCACCTACATCACTAATCAGAGGACTGATTGGCTGAAGAGTCCTCACACCTGGGTTTGAACAGCTGACCTACAGGTTATCCCAAACCTGCACACACAGCGGCCCCCTGTGGATGAGACTGGCCACCCCTGGCCTATGCTGCGGCCTGACACCTGCAGTCACATTTCTGGGGGGGTGCGATTCAGGCTCCGGTGTAGGTCATGGCACAAGGCGCGGTGTAGGACACACGGCTACCTACGGCATAGAATCTACACAGAAGTATAAATCAGGCTGCTTATAAATGTCAAAATCCAGCTCCTTGGAGATGCTCATATACAGTCTGTTATGGGCATTTTTAATCTGGTTGCATTTTAGACAACGTTCAAACAAAATCAGCAGTAAAAAAACAAAAATGACGATGTCACCACCAAAAATTTAACAGTTCCTTAATGTTTCACCAACAAATAAACCATAAGTTCACGTTGTCTATTCCCTGTAACAGATTTTATCACAGAAGCAAAAATCTAAGTGGCAAAGCACTCATTTTGCCTTGAGAGATCAAAGATATAGGAGCTATTTTTAATCTAATGAAACCAGCATTCCACAGCACTGAGCAGCTCGTCCGTACTGAAGGCATGCTGATCCTGTTACCAGGCAACACTGAGCAGTTCTTCAGTACTGACTCTGCACTGATCCTGTTACCAGGCAACACTGAGCAGCTGTTCAGTACTGACTGTGTGCTGATCCTGTTACCAGGCAACACTGAAGAACAGCCCTTTCCCCCTCAGATGCCTCCTGCCCCCATTTGGTGGGATGTGTCACTCCACAAGGCAGTCTTAAGCACTTAGTTATAAACCCAGACTCCCAATGCATCAATATAACTCCATGTTGTAAAGCATAAAGATTTATTGTCCTTCTTATGAGATGCAGAGCACTGCTCTGACATTTGAATAACATCCAAAGTAATGGCAAGATAAAATAAATAGTAATTTTATAGTACTGCTTGAGCTGCCCAAATTAGCAGAGTCAAGGTAATCTGTTCTAGTTGACTTATTAATACAACTGCAGAAAAAAATGAGACCACAGCACAATTTTTTGTTTCACTCATTTCTCAAGTTACAGGTGTGTAATATTTTTTATTGAAAACTGCAGCCTGGCTCTTCCCTGCTTCTCATTAATGAAGGGCTTCTTCCTTGCTTTATGGGACTGCAGTCCTGCTTCTAGGAGCCTGATATGAACTGTCCTAGCAGTGCCCTTCACACCTGTACTTAATGTTTCCATTTCTTTCAAAGGTCACTTGATGTCATCTTCCGATTCATAAGAAACTGTCGGATAAGTTAACGGTCATCTCTGGCATTACAAAGTCGCTTCCGCGCTTTTCCTGGCTGGATTCTGGTAAGTCCCAATGTCTCCTGCTTCACCTTATTCTTGTGTACTGCTGTCTTAGGTATTTTGAACCTGGAAGCAACCTGTCGCTCAGCGTAGCCTCTGCAAGCAGAACCAGGATTAAACCAGGACTTAAAAATGCAGATGTAAAAAAAATTATATATAGAGCGGTCTCTTAATTTTTTCTGTGGCTGTATATAATTAATGCAGTTGTACCCCGTACTCCGCAAAAAGGCCTGGTATAGTTATTACAGGCAGATTACTTCCTAATAACCTAGTCACACCTCACTTATTATGAGGGTCAGGATGGAACAAAGACCTGCAAGCAGAAAGCCAGTCTAGGAAGACTTGTTACCTTGTTACATGCCTTGTCACAGCAGTGCTTTCACGCTACTGCAGAACAGCTCACTATTCTCCAAATGCTTTCACGCTACTGCAGAACAGCTCACTATTCTCCAAATGGGCACTTTTGCCCTGACTGTCACACAAGCCGCCCTGCAGAGACGGGACTCGGTCAGGAGGCTCCCCCCGGCCCCTATGCGGCCTCCCTCTCCCAGCACACAGCCACTGTCCTGCCCACCCCCATCCTGCTAGCCTTCCCCCCGGAGCTCTGCTCTGGACTCCCCCTGAGAAAGAAGCCAGGAGAGTGATTGTTTACGGTACCCCAGTCAGACTCCCTGCTCCTGCTCAGGTTTACAGACCCTTGGAAAAAGGTGTAAGGAGTGCCATCACTGGCTGGCAGTGCCCCTGGAACAGGTGCCCATGTGCCATTTCGAGGAGCCCCTCTGTTCAGGATTGACAAAGTAGACCATAGCTAAGACCCACTTCTTATAACCAGTCCCTATCCTTCAGCGCCCGGCAGGGAGGCCTGCCACGATCTGGGATTTCAGGAACACCCAGCCTATGGCTTACGTCCGGGCATCGACCCACCTCGTATGGGAATGCAGTGCGGGCCGGGAGACCCTGACTGGCTAGGGATGCAGTAACAGTCACAGATGGCTCTGGTACCTCTCAGCATGACGTGCCCCAACCCGGGAACTCATCACCACAAATTAGCATTGGACCTCCAGTTACCACAGCGTTGGGCATTGTCAGCCATGCCGGTGTCTAAGCAGCCTTAGAGGAAGCTTCCTGGAGCACGAACGAATAAAAAGGCGTCCATGACACATTCTGTAGACCTCTGACCAGAGGGCCTTGTTTGGAGAAACCATGGCTACAGTATCAACAACCTGCCGGCGATCGAGGCTCGCACCGCAAGATAAGCAGAGCGCCGGTTCCATGCTAGCAGCTGGCTCTCCCCCTCCCTGTCAGACGCACTGGACGGCTCCAGGCTCCACTGCCAGTGCTGCCTATCAGATACTCTAGCAGCTTAGGAGGGTTAAGGCTTCAGTCAAAACGATGACCAACTAGCAGGCTGCTAGTATAGAGCTTTAACCAGAGCCGTGTAACTACAGCCAACGCCCTGCCATCGGGACGGCACAGCAGATTCTAACCTCCTTCTCTGATAAACATACACCAGCATCTGACAGTTGTGTGCTAGAAGCAGATGTTGTATTAAACTATGTTACCTGTCATTTTGACGGACAGGGTCATAATCTATTACTACTTGTCATTTTCATTAATTAATAATAAGGCATATTTAATAGCATTTTCATTCATTAATTCATTTTCATTTTTAAATAATTAAATTACAGAACAAGCTTATCCATTATGCATTGATTAGGGCATGGATCACTTTTCATGTCAACACCACATGAAGCAGATGAATGATTTTTTTTTCCCCGTAGTGACAGCAGAAAATAACTTGCTCCGTAACATTAGCTGCTGCTGGCTGATAAACATAATCAGTACAAGTGCTTTCCTACCAAAGGTCAGGAACCTAGTTCCTGGTTCTGAGTTCAAGGGCTGTCTTGACCAGGAACTTTTGCATTTTCCCACCACACAACAGGAACTGTGAACTTTATGTTACATAAGCATGGGAGGCGCAAAAAGCTTGTAGGTTAAACTTCACACAATTTCATAGAAAACTACACCCCCCCCACCCCCAAAAATTATATTTTGAATTATGTGACCCCTGACATGATATAATTCATCATTCATTATTTCAACTGGGCAAGCAGATCGATCTTTTGTTTTCCACAGAATAAAAAACAATGTAACTCACTTAAATGCTATTCCACCATCAACCGCTGGCAAGTTTCACCGCCGGCGACATTAAATAAGAGTATATCGATTATCGTTCGATTTAGAAATATGGAGACAGAAACACAAAGGTACATGGAATTATTTTTAATGCATCAATTCCACCTGCTCAATTTTTGCCCCACTACACCTCTCTCTTTTCCCAGCACTTCCACATAACTTCCAAGTTAGCGCAGTGTGGTCAGCGAATCAGCAAGGCCCAAATCAGCAAGGCCCAAATCAGCAAGGCCCAAATCAGCAAGGCCCAAACCAGCAAGGCCCAATCCAGTGTTGTACAGGGCTTCTGACAGAACATCAGCTCTTGCTGAGGTTCAGATGTGCAGCACATGGCCTTTGTAAACAGCCGAAGTAAATCGCACATGCTTATCCCTCTGGCTCCGCGCTGCATCTGGCCTTCTGGACAGCAAGCCCACCACGGCTGTTTTGATGCCAGAGGGTCACAGGGTGAAGGGTGGCAGAAGAGCATCGTGTGTGGCATGTAGGGGGTGCCCAGGGTCATGTGAGGCTACCCTCTGCATGCCATCCGCTCCAGCTTCCGGTAACATCTGCTGCCCGCGTCTGTTAGAGCATACTTAACCACAGAAG